ATGCACATGCGTGTGTATTTTTATATTATATTATTTTATTATATTAAGAATTATATTCATTTCTTCTTTTGTTAGGTCTGAATATACAGTAGCAAACTCAATTGTTTTGTTTGATTTGGTTTGATTTGTTTTACGGCATATCAAACTCAATGAGTTATTTAATGCCGACAAAATGTTTATTGCTGGTAATATTTTGTTTTGTCAATCTATTTCTGTAATATTTTTCCTTCAAAAATGTAAACCTTGTAATATTTATTTTTTAAAAATATTGTTGGTAAATTTTTTTTCAAAAATGTCTTGCTGGTAATAGTTTTATTTTTCATCAAAAATTTATTGCTGTTAATAATTTTTTTTACAAAGTATTTCTGCTATTAAAACCTATTTTTATATTTTCATAGTGTTTTACCCCAGTTTAGGAGTTAACTATTTGCCCATAGCTGGGACCCTAACAGGTGCTACCACCCCAGGTCAGGATGGGCCTGGGACCATCAGCAATTAAGAGGTAGTTCCACCCACCCCAAAACCTCTTGATCAGAAACCTTTAACTTTGTTGAAACTTGACTAATTTACATGGTATAATTCTTGGGATACAAAAAGTCAAAATGTTGAATCTCTTGAGAACAAAATGCATTGAAACAAGAAATTAAGTGGATCCTACCACAATCTTACCCAGGACGTTTAGTTTATCGTCATACAGACAGATCTTTATTTAACAAACCTGTTTTATATTATATATATATATATATATATATATATATATAGATGTATGTATATTACCGATATTACTGAAATGTTTTACTTAATTAACACTGTTTGAATATATATATATATATATATATATAATATATAGACTAACTAGACTCGTTTTTCGAAAAACCCTCGAATTTTTGATTTGCTAATCAAATCAATCTCGAGGGAAAAAAGGTTTTAAAAAAAAGAAAGAGCTACAAACATGGACTTCTGCCGACAAAAAAAAAAAATCGCACAGATGCAGGTCTGAAGCCCAAAGAAAAAAACCCCGATACGAGTAACAACTAACTAACAAAAGAGCTCAATACAACCGTAGAACAGACCTAGATACACCTAGTGAGCCAGACAAAACTACCTGGGTTTCACCTAAACGGATCGCCAGGAAAGTTTGGCTCACTAGGTATATCTATATATATATATATATATATATATATATATATATATTCAAACAGGTTTGGTTAAATAATTTAGACATATCACTCAATTAGTCAATTCGTATTTCAGATTTCACCACAATATGGTTTTAACAAATGAAGAACGTGTATTTAGCGTCGAAGACGCATTTCGAGATCATGGTAGATACAAAGATTTGGTGCGGCAACGTTTTGCTAATAAATTTTTCAGATACAACTGCTCCACATCGCGTTTTAGTTCGAACATTGTGGGTAAATTTCGAGAAACAGGATCAGTCAATTATGCCAAAACTTTGCGCATGGACCCAGTAAAAACTATCGGAGATGGAAGTGTTGGCTATGTCTGAGAGTATGCAGCAGAGTCCAAGAAAATCATTACAAAAGTCAGCACAGCTTCAAAACATTGGTCTCGAAAGAGCCCTAGGGTCGTCAAAGATTAAAACTCTTCCCATTATGGCGGTACAACTACTGGAAGCACCTGATTATGAAAAGCCTCTTCACTACTGCAAACGGTTTAAACGATTTACTAAAGAGAATACTTCTACTGTGATTTACTGATGAAGATTGGTTTCATCACTCGGGTGACGTTAATTCACAAAACAAAAGATTGTGGCCCTCCAATAAACCTCATAGTTAGCATGAAACGCCTTTACATGATCTCAAGGCTGTGTGGGTTGCGATTTACAGGCGTCGAGATTTTAGCCATATGTTCCTTATGAACTCAATAAATATGGTTCACAGATTTTTCTCACCTTCATCGGACAAGTAAATAAAAATTAACATGTTGCGTAAACAGAAAAATTAAAGCAATGTGTTACTGAGACATTTAAGTGTTCCCAACTGCCTAAGAAAGGGTTTTTTTTTGGCATAGGACCAAGAAAATGCCTGAGATTAAAATATCGAGTTATTTAAACAGGAAAATTAAAGCTATGTGTTACTGAAACATTTAAGTGTTCCCAGCTGCCTAAGAAAGGTTTTTATTTTTGGAATAGGACCAAGAAAATGCCTGAGAATAAAATATCGAGTTAATAAAACCAGGAAAATTAAAGCTATGTGTTACTGAAACATTTAAGTGTTCCCAGCTGCCAAAGAAAGGTTTTTTTTTTGGCATAGGACCAAGAAAATGGCTGAGAATAAAATAAGTTACGTAAACAGGAAAATTAAAGTTATGGGTTACTGAAACATTTAAGTGTTCTCAGCTGCCTAAGTGTTGTTGCCTTGTTAAGTCCAGAAATAAAGACATAAATAAAGGAATTGAGTTAAACAAATTTATTAACAGAAACAGTCATATAAACATATACAAACGAGACTGTTACAACAAGAATGTTCGGTCCGACTGTCAAAGCTGACTGCTGGAAACTTATCTCTCCAAAAGGCAGTACCTGCTCCTATTTATAGCTATGAAAGTCCATGCGTGCGTGGGTAAATTACTATAACACTAAGAAAACGTTGTTTTGCCATAGAACGGACATAATGGCTGAGAAGAAAATAACAATTTACGTAAACAGGAAAATTATTGTTAAGTGTTACAGTGTCTCAACTGCCTATGAAAATTGTTTGCATTTATTTTACAAGGCCGAGAGCCTCTCTAGGTAGATGGTTACGTTGAGAGGTTATTTGTGTGTATAAGGAGTGGAAGACAACACTTACCTCCAGCCTTGAATAAGTTAAGATTTTAGTGATCGGGGAAACATCCTGTTGGGAGTCAGTTCCACAGGGCGGCGGTTCGCGGGAAGAAACTGCTCAAGTGGAACTTACCTATGGAATACGGGGGGAATGTGGGTGGTATGTTACCATGTAAGAGTGTTCTTGACATGAAGTTTTGCCACGGCGGGATCAGGGAATGTAGGTCGTCGAAAGACCTTTCCGTGGAACTAGTGGTAGAGCAGTGAGAATCTTGCCACATCCTTCCTGTGGGAGAGAGCTAAAGAGTGGGAAATAGTTCTTCACCCACAATGGCTCTTGGAAGCTTTTGAACTCTACCAACTCTAGAGAGTGGGGTCTGGGTAGCTCCAGTCCAGATATGACAACAGTACTCCATTTTTGGTCTGTTCTGGCTCTTGGTAAGTTAGAGGAATGCAGGAGGAGTCAGGTACTTACTGGAGGGGTACAGGGAGCCGACTATTTTACCTGCATCCTTAGCAGTAGATCATATGTATAAATTCCACTTGAGGTCGGGTGCTAGTTTGAGGCCCAACAGTTTTTGAGGCACGGTGCTTCCTTGAGAGGACCTTCGTTCATCAAGACTGAAGGCGGTTCGGGTTGAGAAAAAAATAACAAGTTAAATAAACAGGAAAAGTTGTGTGTAACTGAAACGCTTAAGTGTCCACCATTGCATAAGAAAAGATTGTTTTGTCAGAGAACAAAGATAATGCCTGAGAATAAAATAAGAAGTTATGAAAACAGGAAAATTAGAGCTATGTGTTACTGAAACGCTTAAGAGTTCCCAGCTGCCTAAGGATAGTCTGTTTTAGAATAGAAGGAAAATAATGGCTCAAAAGAAAATGAAAAATTATGGAAGCCGGAAAATTAGAAAGCATTCGCTTGTTTTTCAGCGAGAATTTGACTATGATCTAGGTAAATTGCTCGAAATCAATTGCTCGGAAAATAATTTCTCGAACTATCAATTGCTCGAAAGGCAGATTGCTTGAAGTAATATTACTTAAAAAGTGTTGCATATAATATTTCATACTAATAGAGTAAATATTAGCAGCAAATAATAACAGTAGTAATAAAAATATACCCTTTATTTTAATCTATGACAAAAAAGCAATGTAGAAAAAAATAAGACCTGCTGTATAAATGTAGTCGTTCAGTTAATGTCATGGTCCATGTTAGGACCCAGGAAGAACAACACAAACACAAGAGTAGAAATAACGAAGTTATATTACACGAAATAATAATACAATATATGGAAGGTGTTAGTATGACTGTCAGTCTGGTTTGGAGTGAACTACTATCGGCTCGACTCGATTCGACCCTCTCTCATGAGAGGCGTAGTATACATAGTGTTAGGAAGAGTTCATTCTGTAGTTATAGGTAAGGACCCATGATAGTTAACAACAATAATGTTGTATTATTTTATCTTATAGTAAATATTAGAAACAATGTAGTTTTTTTTTTAACCACAGGTTTCGAGCAAACTGGCTTTTGGACAATTGATAGTTCGAGAAATTGTTTTACGGGCAATTGATTTCAAGCAACTAACGGATTATGGAGTTTTCAAGTAAGTCAAGTAGCACTTGAGTTAAGTGTTACTCCGGAGTTCTCCAATGCCCAGAATTACTGGGTGATTGGTGACAAATAGATTTGGGTGTTGAAGTTCTTTGTTCTTGGAGTAGAGATACTGTCCATAAATGCAAAAGCAGTCAGTCAGCCGAGCGAATCGTTGCAATGTAGTTGAGAGAGACTAGTTAGAGAAAGAGAGAGAGAGGGGAGACACACTGGTAGGCGGACAGGGAGTGCAAGCTTCCGTAATCAACGACACACAAGCTGTTCGTCCATCTTTGTTTGTGTGTTCAAAGATGGCCACGTTTGATTCCTACAGGCTTATTATCCTATCTTGTAGTGAATGGAATTTTAACCAACGTCCATTGCTTCTTTAAGCGGGAAAAAAGACTTTTCTCTGCAGCTTCGCGCACAAGAAAAATAATGCTGTGGTCGGTATGAATTTTGATTCGGCAGGCACACAAAACTAAGACGATACGACAGGTAGAACGAAGGCTGACAGTATCATCTAGTCTTGGAGGTTGACTGGCGGCCTGGACAAGAGAAGAAACAGTAGAGTTAGAAAAAAACTTGTAATTGTACGGATTCTCAGTAGAGAGCAAGCTGTGTATGTTTGGCAGATTTGTTACACGGATAGACAAAACAACGATAGCTGATTTTATATCTATCCTGACCTTTACTTGGCGTCGTAGAATCAGGCTTTCCATTATTTCCCGTCAATGTCTATCTTCAGAATGGCAACTCCCTGTTCTTCCACGTCTCTTAGTCTGTCTCGCGTTGATCACCGATTCCACCAGGACGAGATCGTAGTGAATAGAATCCTAACAGTAAATTAATTGTTGATTTATAATCAACCTCCATCGGTATTTACCATAGAAGAAAGTGCAACATTCCATTTCATCATCGAAGTTTTAAAATAATTTCACGGCCCGTTCGAATTCCTATTTGATGGTGCACAACACTAAGACAATCCGACAAGCAAACTGGAGGCTGACATCATCCGCTAATCTGCTAGAGTGTCCTGTGGTCCAAACAGAAGAATTGGAATAGCCGTAAAAGCTCCTTTGTTCGGAATTTCAGTTGGGAACTGGTGGTGTGTGTTTGGCGCAGACCTGTGTTAGACAGCTGTGCTAAACGATAGCTGATTTTAATGCCTAAGATGGTTTTTGGTAGTGTTGAAACTTGACTAATGCATGGAATAATAATGCAACACAAAATGAACTTAGAACAAAACGTATTGAAACAAGAAAATGTACACAATATTTACATATAGTCTTTTGTATATTCCTGGGAAGACCGTTCCTGGAGAATGTGTTGACTGAGTCGCAGTCGGGCAGAGTCTTTGGTTGAATCTCTTGATTCCTCCTTCTCTTCCCGGTACCAACCATATATATATATGGTCGGTACTCCACTATGCAAATTAGGTGGATCCTACCACTACAGGTAGTTATAAGTTTGGTGCCATATAATCAGGTTTTCCATTATTTGCAACCATTTCTGTCTTCCGATTGATTTAATCTGACGAAGATACTACCGCTGTCTATTGGCATTTATTTTTAATATTTCACATTTCATACAGATAATGGTTGAGTAAGCTCTTGGCAAGTTCAACGATAACAAATTATCCGTAGAAATTCCCCTACTGCATGGGTAAATATTTGAGATAACAACAAAATATTGCAATAGCAGCCATCAATACGAATGCTGGTCATTAAGAAATAAGGAGGTAAAAATAAAAAGATTTGAAATTGAGAACGTTTTCCTTTTCACTGAAACAGACGTTAAAAACTTCGATTTTCCTTTCTTTCATTTTCTCATTGAAACCAAGAAAACATTTTTGATATGTATTTTGTCGTCTCAAGCAATCAAAAAAGAATACTCTATTATTTATGAGGTATCAGTAGGAGACGTTATCTATCTATCTATCTATCTATCTATCTATCATACTGTTTTTATCTCTCTCTTTCTCTCGCTCTATCCCTAACTATCTCACTATGTATGTATCATAGTCTTTTCTTATCTATCTATCTATCTATCTATCTATCTACGTATCATAGACTGTTTTTATCTCTCTGTTGTGATAAATATGGCGACAAAGATGAGGACAATACTGTGAAAAATGTAAATAGCGATCGAAAGGAATACTCTATTTTTTATGAAGCAGGAGACTTTATCTATCTATCTATCTATCTATCTATCTATCTATCTATCTATCTATCTATCTATCATACTGTTTTTATCTCTCTCTTTCTCTCTCTCTCTCCCTGTCTATCTCTATATCTATGTATCATTGTCTGTTGTGATAAATATGGCGACAAAGATGAGGACAATACTCCGAAAAATGTAAATAGCGATCGAAAGGAATACTCTATTATTTATGAGGCATCAGCAAGAGACTTTATCTATCTATCTATCTATCTATCTATCTATCTATCTATCTATCTATCATACTGCTTTTATCTCTCTCTTTCTCTCTCTCTCTCTTTCCCTATCTATCTCTCTATCTATGTATCATTGTCTGTTGTGATCAATATGGCGACAAAGATGAGGACAATACTCCGAAAAATGTAATTCTATCTATCTATCTATCTATCTATCTATCTATCTATCTATCTATCTGTTCGTTGTAGAAAGGGTTATTGAATGAGGAATAACCAAAAACGGAGGTTGGAAATGAAATGCTAATCTTTATAACATCAACAAAATACAATACTCGCCAGCGGCATGAAGTAGGTAAACCACTGCTAGTGGTGGACTACTTAGACAGCATATTACCCCCACTTATAATATTGCCCAACGTATTTATGAAGATTGGTGCATACCCATTAGTGTTCATAAGTACGGGGCATAACACTATCTATCTATCTATCTTTCTTTTGTTTTTACTGAAACCAAGTAGCGTCTCTGATGAATCTTTTGTCTTTCCCCACGGAACCGTCAATTATTACTGATGTATTGGCAGGGCGCAACGGCCGTGCGAACTAACAAAAGGAGGGACGGGCCCCATTATTATATGATATTGAAAGGACAAATTTTAAATAAAAGTGCCTCCAGTTATCTACTAGTGGGCGGGAGTGATCCAGATGAATTAATTTCTTATGTCAAACCTTTACTTTTCACCTGCAGAATATCGTGAGTGGGCGCTGGTCACGGCTCAATCTACACGTCATATAGAATGGATGGTCATTGTGTCCCTTATTTCGCACCTCAAGTAATCAATCGAAGCAAAAAATCAATGACCCCTTTAACCTTTATGTTTATGTCTGTAGTTTTTACATATTTTTTGCGGGTGGGGGAAACCCCCCCAAAGTTAGTGTGCGTGTCTACGGATACATTCCTGTCCGCGAGCAACATTTTACTTAGCTTGCTAACAAAATTGTGTTTCATTCATTTACTCGTTTTTCCCCCGACAGTTTTGTAGGCGGAACCTAAGCTAACACGTGATTTATTCGTCTGAATAGTACGTAATTTAGCCACGAGTTTAGCTGGATACAACAGCACCGAGAGAAACTCACTTCTCCACTTTTAAATAGACCAATTTAGGAATTTCTCGAACGCATTCTATTCCGAATCATCCTTTAATTATATGGTGGACTTGAAAACTATTCCAATTTGCCACACGAATCGATGATGTCGCAAGGGTAGAATCGATAATTACACTGATATTGATCTCAGTCTTTTGAAAACAGATTCGTCAGGACGTTGATAGAAAAGTCCGCGTTTGTGATAACAGAGTTTCTAGGCTCAAAAGGAGATTGTTGCTACACAACATTTCAACCCGACAGCTGCAGGATAATTTCGTAAAGTTCTCAAAGCCAAAATACACAGTAATCGATGCGCGTCAAAATTAACTTTAAATAACTCGTTTCTGGTTGTCAAAAAGAAAAGACAGAGATGCTCGGTATCATTGGTCCTATGGCCTGATGTCGTCCTAGTGTTGGTTGATAGCTGAGCCATTGACCAGCTCGTTATATATGAAACGGTTGCATCTGAGTCTCTGCGAACGATCTTCCAGTTCATTTGTTAAATAATTGTTTAGCAGACTATTATTTTTAGGGGGAAGTGTATCTCAGCTCCGATTTCTGTAGGTTGACGTTCGGGGTCAGATGTAATACATAATAAGGAAGTCGATTTTGATTGGTTGAGCTCGCGAGGGAATGATATATAAAGGGTTTTCAGTGAGTTGTTTCTTGACCGGCAAGCGATGTAGACGTGTTCTCTTTCTTGTCTGAAATGGCTCCCCTGTGAGTGTTGAGGTCGGCGACTCCGACTGAGTGGTTTGTATATGCCGACATTCATAGAAATAGATAAGTTAATATTTTCCGGTTTGAAGTCCTTTCATCTCTGGACGCCAAAACATTTAGCCACTCCAGGCAGGGAGAAGACCAGAGAGAGGGAGGGAGATAGAGAGAGAGAGAGAGAAAACACATTCGGTGTCATTGACAATCCATTTTTCCCGCTCTGCCTGCCTCATTTTTCTTTTGTCTAAGGTGGTATTTGGTAAGACTGCAGTGGAAAGATTGTTCGATCTTAGGTCTTATCCTTATTCTTTCAACTTCAGTTCGTTGTATATACAGTGGCCTAAGAAAAGTTTTAACCAGGAGAAATAAACTACATCCAATTTCAAAATGTAATTATGTAAATCCTATTCAACATGAATAAACAGTATTCGGAACTAGTATAGAGTAGGTCCTCCATTTGCTAGTTTCAGTGCTTCTCTTCGATTTTGCATGGATTTGATCAAGTTATCAACAATCGTCTGAGCCATAGTTTGACACTCTAGTAATGTTTCTTTAAGGATTGCCACTGATGTGATTTTGGTTGCACGCTCTCAATGTCTTCGGTCAAGGTGCTCCCAAACATGCTCTATTGGATTCATGTCAGGATTTTGGGCTACCCATGGCAGTGACTTAATTCTTTGCGATTCCTTCCAGGACTTTCCTACTTTGCTCGTATGACATGGCGCTCCATCTTCTTGAAAAAGGTAGACATTCTTGTCAGTCTGATTGGTTTCAAATAGTAGGATTAGTCCTTTCTCTAATATTTGACTGTATTTTGGACCATTCAACCGCTTGTCAACAAGAATCAGCTCAGATTTCCCTCCAAACCAGGCAGCACCCAACCCCATTACTCCAATCCCTCCATGTTTCACGGTCGCCTGCAGACATTCAGAGTTCCAAGTCTCATCCTGAGTTCTCCAAACATAAACCAATCTCGAATTCGAATATTGGCAGAATTTACTTTCATCTGAACAAATTACAGACTACCAAAATTTATAATTTTTGCTCTCGAATTCTTTCGCCCATTCCATACACCTATTCCTGTCAAGCTCTGAAATCAAGTGTTTCTTTCTTGCAACTCTTCTTTGACAGCCTAGCTCTTTCAGAGTCTTTCTCATTGCATATGGCGACATTTCAGTGGTGTTGGTGACATATTTAAAGCTCTGATGACGGTTTCTGATGACTTCCCCTATTCAGTGCCTTTTTCGTTCACTCAGACACGATGCTTGGTTTTCCTGAACGTTGTTCCACACGACAATGGCTTTCTTCATTATATTTCTTGACAATATTATTAACCGTTTGATGATTAACCTGGAAAAACCTAGCAATTTCTCTATTTGACTTACCACACTGATGCCATCCTATTAGTTACCCTTGTTGAAATTCACCAATTTCCTTGCTTTCAAGAACTTTCATTTCAAGATATAAGCTAACTATTGATACTAACACGGTATTGTCTGAAAAAAAAGAGACGTTATTACACAAGCCAAAATTGCTGTAATCAAGGGTGACTAAAAAAAATTATCACAGCCCACTCTATCTACTTATCTGCTAAGATTGAATAATTATTTATTAATTATATTTTATTGTTGATTATTATTATTGATACATTTACATGAGTTTATGTCCGCATTTGTTATTTTTTAAATATTTAATTATTTATCAATTCGTTATTTTTTTTTATCTTCGAGAACACAGACAGATATCAAAACTGACATTAAGTGGTCGGCAGTAGAAAGTCACCCAAGAAGCAGAATACAGCCTGAGAAGGAGATTATGGGCGGGTGTGACCAAAACCAATCGAGCTGACCTGTGCAAATAAATCAACCAGGTTTTCTTCAAACGGGGTCTAAAGGATAATTGAGACATGGTGATCGTAGAAATCAGGAGTTTCAAAGAAGAGCAGCGAACATCTACTGCTGTTTCTCAGTCCAAACAATGTGCTTGACGACATGGATAAGATATTAATCCGATGAAGCTATCATGGGGTACCCTGATTGCAAAGTAGCCATTGGCAATATAAGCACTACTGCGATCGACCTATGATCATCTAGCAAATGCGACCAAAATCAAACTGTGGGAGGTACACTGACACAGATATATGTGCATTATATTTAACTGATCGAGGTCACTTTATATCACGTGCACTCTGTATCACTGCAACAAAGCACAGGAAATGGGCATTGGACTTAGTCAGAACACAGTGTGAAGTAGTCAACGTACAGCCTGTAAAGACCAGAGAACCGAAGATCCCTTTTCGCAAGGATGGTGAACGCCCTGTACGAAAAACCCAAATAACTCACAACCTGTTTGGAGGGCGTTGGTTGATTTTATAACACCTCTCCAATTTACGATACACATCATTCAGACAGACGCATGTCATGGCATTGTTGTGTGCTCTGATTCAAAGAAATATGTCCTGCTAGTAGAGTTAACGGTTCCATGCGTGGAGAACATGGGGGAGGCGCACGTGGCCAAATAAAAACTGCTACGAATCACTGCGATCCGACTAGACATGCCATGCACTACCTATTGATATCGGCTGAGGTGGATTCTGTGGATAAACGAGACATGGGGATTGAAGAAATCAGGAATGGTCAGCAGTAGAAACCTCCGTAGAAGCAGAATCAAGGAGATTATGGGAGTGACCTAAACCAACCGAGCTGGCCTGGGCAATATAAGCAACCATTTTCCTTTCTCCAAACAGGGTCCAAAGAATAAATGAGACAATGCGATTGAAGGAATTTCAAGAAAGAGCAAACAATGAGCTTGGACTATATGGAGTGATATTGATCCAAGGAAGCTATCAAGGGGTACCCTGATTGCAATGTAGCCATTGGCAATATCATCTCTCCTATGATCTACCTATGATCATCTACCAAAAGCGTCCAAACTCAAGCTGTGGGTTACACTGACACCGATATAGGCTTATTATTTCTATTTGATGTTCTCTGTTGTATTTGAGTGTTTAAATTTGAGTTAAAGTTCACGTTTGAATCGTTCATCTTTTTTATTACAATTAATCTTAACATTTAAAGCCCATCGTGTTTTTTTTTTCATTTTTATTTTACTTTCCTTTCTCACTATACTTCTTCTGGCCATTCACCAATGATCCTAGGAACAGACCCCCTACTACCAATTACCTCTCCCCTCTTAATATACTAGAATGACAATTAAACATCGCATGGTCAAAAAGTTCGGTGGGCCGCAGATCGACTCTCCAAATAAGTTATCTGAAGGTGCATTCTTTGAAATAACTTGGATTTTTTTAAATAGAAATAGATAGGCTTTCCTATCACCAGCTATATACCAAATGGTCAGCAGTCGGAGCCTCCCTAGAGGCAGAATCA